TCTTCAATTTAATTGTCAAAAGCTTCACACGTTTTTCATCAAGAATATCTTTGAGCTCGAAAACTCTTTCCACTATGTAAAACCGGTCAAGAAAGTCATCAGAATGAAGTCTTTCTTCAAACTCAGGAATGTAGACTTTGATTCCCAAATCTCTGGTAGTAGTAGTTCTCAAGCGATGAATAGGTTCTTCTTCATTATAGGATGAATTTGATGAAACGGGTTGATATCATTCTCTTCATCACTAGAGTTGCTATTGTTGATTTGAGGATCACGCCTTGCGAGTTGTTCTTGTAATTCTTGAATTTGTTGACGTAATTCTACAATCTTGATCTTGTGATCATCTCTTCGACGATGTTGGCGTCTTGGCGACATATTATTGTATGATGATGACAATGTGGTGATATAGAAAAAAATGATGATATAACTATAAAACAATAAAAAAATAAAATTACCCAAACACGGAGTATCGAAACCAGACAGCGAACCTAAACTATGAAACAAACAATGACCCTCCCACTCTGATACCAAACTGATGCCGCGGTGTTGTAAAGACACTTAGGCATTGTGAAAGACACCAATTGTGGTGAGGTTGAAAATCCCATTAAAGTGAACCACCAATCTTAACAAGGTTGAAAAACTCCACTAAAGTTAAAAATAGCCAAAGTCCTACTTTGGTTGGTTAGGCCAAAGATATTAAAAACCTCTTACTCTTTAAAAAGATCATAAAGGAATAAGCACTCTTACTTAAGAAAATATTATTTATTAACTCTCAACTTGAATGTGTATAATAATTAAACCTAAAGGTCCTATTTATAATATTATAGGCCTATATCCTAATAAAACTATACTTTTAGTTGTCTAATATAATTAGAATAATTAACAAAAGATTTAAATAAAATAGATATTTTATTGCTAAATAGAACATGACTAGCTTAAAGTCATAATACAAATAAAAGAAGAATTTTACTATAACTATAATTCCTAAATAATAATAATATAATAATAATATACTCTTGTATCACACTGCAATGTAATTTAATTAGATATATTACAGAGAATTTGTTCCCACGTCCCTCATACCAAACACTACCTAAGAACATGGCTTTATTATATCTGTTGATAAAGAAAATTGAAGGCTTCCAAGCATTTCATGTATTATACCCTCTCTTTTTATTACTATACAAACAAATTATATAAGAAAGTGATCAAGATGCCCAATTGTTTAAGTTGTGAGCCAAAAAGTATCCTAATTAAGCAAACATTAAATTAAAATTAAATCTTTCTTCCAATTATTTTGTAACAATGATAAAAAAAATATATGTACAGACCAATCAATCACAACATGATACTTTTCAGTAACTTTTTTTAAAAAATTAAACTATAACACATACACTTTATCTAAAAGATTAATTTTATGAGGTGTACAATATCTGCATTTATAAATGCAAGACTCCTTTTTTACCAATTTGATATGAGATTCTATAATATTCTTTTCCACTTGAACTTGCGATACCCTCACAAGTTGAGTCAACTTGCTTACTCCACCCATTGGAGCACCTAATGTGACATCAAAATTGAGTTTGAGTTGGTTCTGACATTGTTTTGTCATGAGATTATTACTTCATTTTTCTCGAAAAGCTAATATATTGAGATGTGCGACATCAATGTTTATAAATCCAAGAATCTTCTTTTACCTTGGTGTAAGATTTAGTAATAAATGCAATATGCATGTCATAGACAAAGTTATTGAAGTAAAGGAAAAAAATTAAAAATTTTTATCATTAAAAAATCAATTAATAACATATTTGGATTTTAAGTATTTACAATTTGGCATATTTTTACTTACACTCCACAATGTATATGACTTTCACTTTGATAAAGATATACCAATAAGAGGAAATAGGGAACAAATATCAACAAGTTGTTATAATATTAATATAGTGGTAAGTATTCTCGTCTGTCACCCAGGTTCAATCCCCAGCAATGGCAATCCAGCAAGTCCATACAACTAAAATAGATTATGAAATTCAATTGAAACTCTTTAAAAAAAAAAGAGGAAAAAAACTCTCAAATGTGAAGAATCCAAGATGTTGTAATTCATTTGAAAGAAAAAAAAACATAATATAATAAAAAATTTTAGCAATTTTGCATAATTCATTTATATATATTATTAATTTATTAATGATTATAAAGTATTTATTATCTAAATTTGGTTATAAATGATATCTTTTAATATTAAAATTTAATTCTATTTACTATTATTTTATTTATAAATTGCTTGTAGTTAATGTTGTACTTCCTAAAATTCAGTAATTGTTCAAAATATAACTTCAAACTTCAGTTTAACTTTTTATAAATTAACTTTAATTTATTAATAAAAATTTTATTAATAATGTATATAAAATTATCTTTTATTTTTGGATTGAGTTTTACAACAGATACCCATGTTATTTATAATTTAATATGCCGCTTCAAATTTTTTACGAATATTACTAATCGGGGTTTAAGTACTAAGTGTTAATTTTTAATCGAGTTTGAGTACCTTGTCCACCGTCATTCATAAATAAAAATATGCACAAATTTGACTTACAATTAATTTATATAATTTACACGTATGATGTCATTTTGTAAAAACATTTTAAAGAAAAGATATTTAAATTCACTTTTTAATTTGTTAAAGATATAACGTTCAAAAAAGTCTTTAAATTATTTTAAAAAATTTAAATAAATCTTTATTCTTTTATAAAGTTCAATCAAACCCATGTACTTTATTTTAGGTTAAATAAATTTTCATAATTAATGGTTGATTAATTGTTATTTGTCATTTTATGTCACATGAAAGATAAAAAATGCCATATGACCATATTATCATATCACATCATTATTTATTATGATGCATCAGTATGCTATGCAAATTAATGTCACTTGGTTAACCATAATAGCGTGTTTGATTAAAGGAATGGAATAGCCATTCCCTTTATTCCTATTATTAATCTAAAAATGCATTTAATTAGATGGAATGATCATTCCTAGGAATAGCCATTGCAGGAGAATACGGAATAACCATTATCGAGCCCCTTTCGATAATGGCTATTCCGAACTAGTGAGAATAGAAAAAAAATTAAATTAGATGAAAATACCCTTTTAAAATTTCAAAAATTACTTCTATATAATATAAATTTTTTCATTTCTTAAGTTTTCTTTCTTTCTCTACCTATCACCTTTCTCTCATTCTCTCTTTACATTTCCTTTTCCATTTGAGGTTAGCTGAGGGTTAACAGAGGGGACGGTAGCGATGACACTAACGTCAATTGCAAGAAGCACTAATCTAGCACTCCCTGGCCAGATTTGGCCATGATGAGTGCTAATCTAGCACCTTTCAACCAAATCAATCACAAGAAGTGTTGGATATGGCATTTCCCAACTAGATCTCGCAACCAAATCTGACACTCCATGGCTAGATTAGATCATGGGAAGTGTCAATTTTGCACTCTAACGTCTAAATCCAACCACAGAGAACGCCAAATCGACGCTCTATTACGCCGACCACATCTCTAATGGTGGCTAGTTGAAAAATAATGAAAAGACAAAGAAATGAAATTACTAACATGAAAAAACCCAAAAAAAGGAAAAAAAACTAAAAATTATTATTTTATATTTTAAAATTAAATTAAAACTTTAATTATAAATTATGAAAAATTAATATTTAAATTTTAAATATTTAATTATAATTTTTTAATATTTTAAAAATAAAAATAAAAAATTCATACATTATAATAAAAGGATGTTTTTACCATTTATTATTTATTGCTTTGTTATTCCTAAAACTATTTTTATCAATCAAATATAAGAATAAATGAATATAACAAATGTTATTCTATTCTTATAAACTAAACTATATAATAATTATTTTTTTATTTTATTCTCATGTAATAATTACCTTATTCCAACTCTATTTTATTTCGTGAATCAAACATATTTTTTTGTGATAAGAATTTATTTGATTTAACATAAAAATATAAGATTTATTTAGATTAAAATAAAAATATAAAAGTTGGTTAATGGAAAAAAATTATTTAAATTTGTTAAAATTGATTGGATTCTTTTTGGAATATTAAATCTTTATTAAATATCATGCATTTATGACATCTCAATTTTTAAATTTAAAATTTCAGGATAAGAAAGTTTATATAGTACTCCTACTAGACGGAACTCATAGGAGATTAACGGCACATACTGAGGCCTTCAGTTGATGATCATAAAATGAAGAGCAGAAGTGGACCCACAATCAGTACATCATTTTCGTTTAGTACATTGTTTTGGCAATCATAAGAAAATCCAAGGAACGGTTATCCTGTAAGGAAACCAATCTCACATATGCCGAAATCCACCGGATCATTATCTGCCCCACTTCTTTTCTCTCTCCCG